TATCTAAACCTGATTCACCTTCACTGCCCTCCATGCTTGTTATAAAACCTGAACACTTAAGCAAGAGGAGAGTCAACACTCCCAGAAGTTTAACCCAGTGCATCAGCCCACATGTACCTGAGAAGGTTACTCCTCCTGCATCCACACTCACCTGTGTGACCCAAAAGAACAGAATTTACTAGACCTCTGTGAGAAAAAAAAAAAAAACATTTATATATATATATATATATATATATATATATATATATATATATATATATATATATATATATTTGGTGGAGAATGTGGAGGGTAAGTCCAAAATTGCAGACAGGCTGTGCATTCCCTCCTGTGGTCAACCCTGGCAAAGAGCTTCCCACCCAGACAACCACATCCCTCTCTATCAGAGCCCAGCACAGGCTGCTTCTGCTAAGGGCATTACAGAAATCACGCTGTGCAGCCGGAGAGACAGCTCAGCAGTTAACAGCACTGGCTGCTCTTGCAGAGGACCCAAGTTCGGTCCCAGATGCCCACGTGATGGCTCACAACCATCTGTAATTCAACTAATGTCTTCCTCTGAGCCCCGTGGGCACTGGGCACATACGCAGTGCATGTACATACATCCAGGCAAAGCACGCATACACACAACATAAACAGACTTTAAAACAGAAAGAAAGAAGCCACACTGTAGCTCAGCTGATACTGACAATCTCTGGCAAACCACACAAAGGCACTTTGATTTCATCCTTCAAAGATAATTTACCTAGAGCGCATCTTATCATTTTGATGCAGGTGGCTGAGCTTAGGCCACTAGGGCCTTTGAAAAGCAACATCTGTGGGAACTCAACCAGCCAAGTGTATTTATGTGACTAATACCAAAACAGAAGGAAAAGCAAGGCCCCAAAATACAGATTTGCTAACTGTACCGCCCACTGTGACAGTCTTAGCTGGGGATAGATTTAAAATGCAGGGGACTCATGGAGGCATTCCACTGAGAATTATCTAGACAATAGTGATGACAGGCCCAGTGAGTAATTTTTATTTCTCTTTCATGATAAAGAATAAAATTTCTTCTACCAAAGGTCATTTGATCCGCTGGTACCTCGAATCCTCCCTACCGCAGGCTCCATAAATGATATTTTGTGCTATAATTACAGCAGGACTCCGGTCTGGGAGTTCAATGCCCTCCACATTTTGATTGCTTACCTAAGAGCTTCAGGGGCTGGGGGGAGAGAGATGGAGTCAAAATTGTGTGAGAACCTTGAGAGAAGACACCCTCACACTGTTGATGGAACCAGTGCCCCAAACAGCTAAAGCCTCCTGGGGGTCAGCCCCCAAAACCAGCACGGCACTTGTTCTTTACTTTTGTTTTGTTTTGTTTTGTCTTTGCAGAGGATCTCACATAGCCCAGGCTTCAGACTTCCACTTCAGATTCTCTTGCTTCTACCTGAGTAACGATCGCAGGTGTGCACCATCACACCTGGTTTGCATGTGCTAGGGGGTCAGACCCGGGGGCTTGTGCACGCTGGGTTAGCACACTCCCCAGTCCCTAAACTTGCATTTCTACCCACTTACGTTTTCCATACGCCTGGTCTAATGGCGGAGTCCTCCTGCCTCTAAATCAACTTTCCGACCAGCCAGCGTTTACCAGTCAGTCTCCAAAACATAACCAAAAAAACAAAAGCCTAGATTCCTGCTCAGGCATCAAGCCCGTGCCGCTCTTTCAGAGGACTCAGGTGCTATTTACCTCATTACCTCTGTTGCTCCTGAGGAAATACAAAGCTGGTCTCTGCATGACCACCCACACCCAGCCTGCCCTTTGTTCGTGCCACATGCTCTGCCTGGGTTGCCTTCCCTGGTGCTGACGACTCATTCATTGGAGGTGCCAAGTAAACATTTTTTCCACGTGAATGAATTTAAGACCTTGCCAGGTCCAAGTCAGCATTCAAATCCTGCGTGACTAGCACACTCTGTAGGTTATCACTCCTCTGAAAGCATCCTTTTTATGTTCACCAAGGTACATTTTAGTACCTACAATGAGGCAGGTGTCAGGCTCAATCCAGATTAGGCAAGGCACTGTCCTGTCTCCGGAGAACACAGAATCCAGCGGAGAGACTTACAAAACACACCTACTAGCACCTACCCAGCTCTTATTAAAGTAAACATGTACTGTCGAGGCTACCTGCCGTTTATGGGTACTGAATGAACTCTAGTGAGTCATTTTAAGTGGGGGTGGGGGGGAGACTCCAGATGGCTGAGTGGGTTTCACCTAGTTAGATATGCAGAGCCTAGTCTCAAATGTGAGGTCTGGGTTCCTGCTGCTTCCCAGCCTCAAGGGGTACACTGTGCTGTGGGATCTTGTAGGTAGAGTGGGAGGAACAAGCCGTCCCCAGGCAGAGGAGAACACACCTCTTCATGGAGAGTGAACGATACAGAATCACCTCAGTGCACACAAGGATGAAAGAAAGAAAATGGGTCGGCTTAGGCAGTGAAGCACCTTGGACTCGGGCCCAAAGATTACAGGTGACATGTCAGTTGTTTGCATCAGTGTCCCCATCAAGATGGGCTGCCTATGGAGTAGGCGGAGCTCCTTGGGGTATTTTCACACCCCGTAAGTGTTCTGTAGAGCTGGTGGGAATCCCATGATTCCTGTTCGGGTTGGGAGGAGGTCGTTTTTGGTTTTTTAACTTTTTGTGTTTCCTTGGTCCCACCCAGCTTCATAAATAGTTATGTTTCTGGCCAGGTTCAGGTGGTGGCTGTTTCAAACCTAGAGCAAAGCTCACAGCAGCCATCGGGTAGCCAGGACGCCATCCTTCCTACGACAAACCTCGGTCACCGCCGGGAGTCCTGTGTTCTCAGAGTCATACACAAGGGAACTAAAGACCATCGTGATGTGGCACGTGAGATGCATGAGCATTTAACTTTCCCAGCACTGGGTCCCAGAGGCTCTGACAGTAATACACACATGGCACCTGGAGCACAGACTTCCAAGTCCCAATGCCTGTGGCTCTTCACCCCAACCCCAACCCCAGACAAGGGTTTCTCTGTGCAGCCCTGACTGTCCCGGAACTCACTCTGTAGACCAGGCTGGCCCCGAACTCAGAGATCTGCCTGTCTCTGTGCTGTGATTAAATCCCCCATGCTGTGATTAAAGGTGTGCGCCACCAGCAGCGGGCCATGCTCTTAACCGCTTGTCTGGGACGCCAACCAGGCAGGAAGATTAAGGAGAGCTGGTGGGTCTCTCCTGAAGAGCCAAGGAAAGGAGTTGCCGAGAGCTGGCGAGAAGCCTGCCTGTCTCCGTCTCACTGCTGTCCCCATCTTCCACACCAAACTACGGAGTCAGCTAACCAAGATGTGAGCGGAGAAGCCCGTTTCCACGTTCAGACAGCCTGACAAGGGACCCAGGTTCCTCAGCCTCCTCTCCCAAGGAGTAGTGACCCAAACAACCCATGTCCCAGCTCCCTTCCCTCCCCTTCGGTCCCCCCAAACATGTAAGCATCTGTTCTGAGCCAGGAACGGTCTTAAGATCTGGAACCACAGCGGGCAGCAAAGGCAAGAGCTCTGCTCTCTGGAAGCTTAACCTCTGACTAAGTCAACAACGATTTCTGACGACAGAGCCTACGGAGTCATATAAGATGGAGGGAGGCTTTATTTAGGAAGTCCCTTTTGGAAGGTAACGTTTGAATGCACCCTCAAATCACAGGAACCCACCTTCACAGCACAGATCCCCCTTATACAGGAAAGGGCCTTCGTGAACATCAAGTGCCGACTCTTTTTAGTTGTAGGTGAGACAATAAAGGTTCAATTACACAGGAAGACGCATAGACCAGGTCTCCAGTTGCATCCGGCTACTCCACAGCACAGCTGGATGCACTCATCTGAAGTACTTTCAATTCCCTCAAACACGTTGTTACTTTCAGAACAACCCTTGGGCAAGGGATGTCTGACTTTCCTCCAACAAATAACAAAATCGAGGTGAGGAACGTATCTACTGACTTGTCATAAATGATCTAAGACCTCAGGTATTGTTTTCCCAGACCTGTGCCCTCTCCCTCAGGGGAGCAGCCGCTGCCCACCGAGTGGTCTAGGAACACACAACAGCATCAACAAGTTGATACAGCAGAGACCATACAAGAGTCAAAGACGAGAACAATTGCTCAGCCATAACCCACAAGTCAAAGTCCCCCGCCCTGAGTTGTTTGGACATGAAAGAATATATATGACTCTGAGTAGACGACTGTGGCCTGAGGCAGTCAGGGCCCTGTGACTGATGGATACAGGGTGGTGGCTTTCTACAAAGCCACCCTGAGCGTCTCCGTAACTATAAACAACCCAGATCAGCAGTCTTCAGAGCTAGCCGGCCCTTAGGTAAAGGTCCTGATACTTAGGAAATGAGATCCTCCCAAACATCCCCCCCAACAGAGAGGCATCTGTGGGAACTTCAGAGTAACACAGACATGACATGGAGATTGAGAGAGACCCCAAAGGGAGACTGGAGGACCTGGATTTCCACTCAGCCCTCCCAGGAACCCCTGGCGTTCCTCCTGGCTAAGCTCTTGCCAGGAGGCAGAGGGGCGGCGCTTGTTTTGTCTAGCTGGTCGGGAGCTGGGTTCGGCTTTATGCCTAAGGGCTGGCTGGCACTGGAAGTCTTCCCTTCCACCCAAAATGCTGGGGTAGCAACGTCTCTGGAGAAACATCCTGGCGGCCTGTGAGGTTTGTGGCCTCTCTGTTGGTTGTGCCTCAGATCTCCACACAACACCCTCCCCCCAACGTCCACCACGCCATCTCATACAATCCAAAGGCCGTGAGCAACTCACCAACGCCTTCATGAAGTAGAGCCCAAGTGGCCCTCACATCCCCAGCAGGAAGAACTACTGAACCCAGGAGACAGTCCACATCCCCCTTAACCTGCCCTCCCTGCCACCACCAAAGGCCCCCACCCCTGCCCACAGCCACTAGCAAAAGGGAAAGGGAAAGAGTGTCTCCCGGCCAGGTGGCAGGTTACAGAAGCCATTTCTTACCTATGGGAGAAGGAGCCACCCGGCCACTAGGAATTCTCTCTGCTGTTAACACTACTAGTCTTGGAACTTGCTGGACTTTGGACAAAGATTGATTTAAAAGCTGATGTATTTAACAGGGACGTGTGGTCTGAGTTCAAGTGACCTCTGTCCTGCTCCCTGCCAGCTGGAAACCCTCAAGATCCCTCAGCCAAAAGCAGCCCTGCCCCCACGCCAGCCGAACAATGTGGGGAGTAGGAAGGTGCCTGTGCTCCGGTCAGGACAGCAAAAAGCGGGGAGAGTAGAGGTGGGAAAGGCACCTGGGGAGGAGGTGCCTCTGCCTTTCCAGTTCTATCCAATGTACAGGGGGCTGGGTCACACCCAACCGATCCCCAATCCCACTAGGAACCCCACTGCCCCTAGTCCAGGGTCAGAGTCAGGGCTCCTCACCAGCCACCTTCCACACTGAGGCCATCCTGGGAGCAGGGCCCTGCAACTCCTACCCAGAAAGCCACCAGCAGGCCAATAAAGCCCCCGTGTACCTGTCCTGCCTCCCACCGCCCTGAGGGCTCGCGCTTGTCTGCTCGCACAGGTCAGCAGCAAGGCCCAGCGTCCCTGTTTCTTTATTCTTTACTGCTCCCCCGCCCCTCTCCCAGAGGCTGTCTGTTCTCCAACTACTGATACCTGTCTTCCTCTTCACACACTCTGCAGGCTCTCAGGAAGGCAGCCGAGCCGTCTTCACAAGTTCCCCTGTGGGCTGGTGCGGCTGAAAAGGCCGCCAGCCTCCGCCAGGGCAGCAGCTGACCTCTATCAACCACACCCACACAAACCATCCTCACCTGGATTCTCAGCCCACACTCCTAATCCAGGGCAGGAGACTGCTCCCAGCAGGGAGGCCAGCCCCAGGCTGTGGACTGGGTGGCCCCATCCCTCCTCCACTTTAGGAAGACTAGCTGTTTGTCTTCCCTGGGTCTCAGCTTGGCCCTCAACCCACGTGAGACCTAAGCCAGGGGATAAGAGTTTGGACTGACCAACGTCAGAGTCTCTTCATCGTATCCAACTGCCTTCCATCTTCGGGCTATGTTCTCTTGACCTCAAACATAACTTTCAAAGCATTAGGGTGGACTAGGGCGCTGTATATTTAGGCTCAGAACACCTGAGTTCAAATTCTGACTTCCAATCTCCAGATGTTTGAGCTGGACTAATTATCTTTCTTACACTGTTGTGGGTGGAACACAGGACCTCCCCACACACGATATCAAGTTTTAATATCATACCTACAAGTGAGTCTGACATGATTAATGCAAGAGCAATATAAGTCCTTCACTGATTATATAGATCTAGTAGATTTATCTCTCCTGGGCTCCCTTCAGCCCTCATCACGTGACATGATATTCATCTTGTAGATAAGAAAGCTTAGATTCATCTGTTTACTAATCCTACCCAGGATCATCTGACCAGGAGGACCTGGACTCCGCCCCTGTCTGCTTAGAGGAAGCCTTTGCAGCTGCAATAAAGCCTCCTGTGGTTAGGAGAAGCCTCCTGCCGCCTTCTCACCCCGGCCTTCCCCAGCTGTGTTTGAGAAGGGGCAGATAAACCGATAAGCTGCAAGCTCTTCTAGAAGGTTTCTCCATTGTTAGGGAGACAAAGTTGGGATTTCCTGGTTCACTTCCAACTTCAATATTCGGGGAACCTAAATCTGTTGGGGGTTTTGTTTGTTGTTTGTTTTTCAAGACAGGGTTTCTCTGTGTAGCCCTGGCTGTCCTGGAACTCACTCTGTAGACTAGGCTGGCCTTGAACTCACAGAGATCCCCCTGTCTCTGCCTCCTGAGTTCTGGGACTAAAGGCGTGCACCATCACAACCCGGCTAAATCTCCTGGGTTTTCACACACACACACACACACACACACACACACACACACACACATTCACACACCCCACACACTGCCCTGGAGGATGTGCAGTGTAAGCTCTGGTTTGTCTACAGAGTCCTGCAGGTCAGAAGCTGTGAGCACAGGCTGTAGCATAGGGCGTGGGGTGGTTTTGCTTCTCAAAACCCGAGCCATGGAACCAAAGGCCAACTTACTGTGCTCGGCTAATTCTCTTATCCCTGAGCCACAGCCCAGCCCTGGCTTTGGCATCAAGAAGATGCGACATTGAATCCTAAATATGTGGTTACTGGTTTCTTTTCTTTGGTTGGTTTGTTCTCTGGAGCTGGAGACTTTATCTTTGGTCAGGCCGCACCTGTCTGCCCCACTGAGAGATAAAGAAACAAGCTACAATCTGTGTTAATTGCTTACCTTGGTGTTTCCATTAAGGAAAGAATTCATGTCAGGTCCACCTCAGCCGAGATGCCTCCACTCTCCACCCCTCACCCAAGACTAGGGATTTTGCCAGAGAAATTTCTTTTTCTTCCCAGAATCTGGGCTGAGAGAGCCACTTTCTTGTAGCCTTCCTGATCTCTCTATCCCTGCTCCATTTTGTCCACAAACTCGCAATATTTCAACACACTCAAGTATTGTGTTATTTGATTCCTTTCTCCCTCCTACCAGAATATCAATTCCTCGAGGACAGAGACTTATTTGTATGGGTGTTTTGTCTGTGTGTGTGTCTGTACGCCATGCATATCAGGTGCCCAGGGAATCTAGAAGAGGACCCCAAGTCCCCTGGAACTGTCTGGAATTATAGACAGTTGTGAGCCGCCATGGGGGTGCTGGGAATTGAACCCGGATCCTCTGGAAGAGCAGCCAATGCTCTTAATCACTGAGCCATCTCTCCAGCTCCTAAGATTTATATTCTTCTCTCTTTGTCTCAAATGCCTGGAATATAATGTAACAGGGCCCCAGACCTCAGCACAACCGACTCCGTGATGGAAGTGCCATTCAGGCTGTAGAACTCAGCAGGTAGACAGCACCACCTGCCAAATCTAAAACAAAGGCCTAATCCATCAAAGTCCATAGTTCTGGGAAAGTCTCTGAATGTTCTAACCTTGCTTTGTAGCTTCTGTAGTTCCGCTTCTGGCTAACTGTTCTTGTTAACTGAAGTATGCCACGAGGTTTTTGTGCAGCTCACCCTGAGAAAGGCTCAGTGCTACCCTGGGATCCCAGACACTCAGTGGAGTCGCCCACCGGCTAATAAAGACATTCTATTGGCTTAGACCCCTGTCCGAGCAGTCTTCTCTGGTGGATACCCACAACAAGACCACCATATACTAAGATTTCAAGTAAATACGAATGGAACACTAAATTAATCTTGCCAATAAAATTGGTTTATCCCCCTCACATGGCACTGTAGACTTGAGACTTCAGCTCTCTGCAGAGTCTCAGGTTCTAGGTTCATTGCCCAGTATCACTTTGGTTTCTTATCTTTCTCATCATTTCTGGAATCCACAGAGTTTCCTTTAACGAAGTGCAACTATCAATTTGGAAAAAAATATTTTATTTCTTTTGTCCAGTACTTTCTATGGACTTAGAGGGGAGGTTGTTAAGACTATTCTAGAACTAAAAATTATCCTATCACTTTAGACTTACTTTTCTTCTTCTTACTGTTCTTCTAGAGGACCCAGCACCCACATGGCAGCTCACAACTGTCTATGACTCTAGTTCCAGGGGATCTGACACCCCTGGCAAAACACCAATGCACACAAAATAAAATTTGTTTTAAAAAAAGATCCAGCTTTTCATCTGCAAAATATGTATAATATTGATAACCTCAGAAGACTGACCAGAGGCTTAAGAAGACTTTTTTTTTTTTTGTTTTGTTTTTCGAGACAGGGTTTCTCTGTGTAGCTTTGCGCCTTTCCTGGAACTCACTTGGTAGCCCAGGCTGGCCTCAAACTCACAGAGATCCGCCTG